CCCATCACCGAAAATGCACTATCTCCTCTGCGTTTCAACCTTGTGCAAGGAACCATAAGTAGGTTTTGATTACCTGATCTTACATCTCTAGGGTTATAAGAATGCAGCAATTCCGATAGGTAACGCGGGGCAAGGTTGTGTAGACATTTGTAAACAAATAGGAGAATTAAAAAATTTATCCTAAAATGAACTGGGAGCCAGTGAAGAGCTCGCAAAAAAGGGGTGGCGGGGTCGTATTTGCGGCCTTTCTTAAGAAATTTGGCTGCTGCATTTTGGACCAATTGTAAACGAGCGACCTGGGACTTTGCGATGCCACAATACAAAGAGTTACAATAGTCCAGTCGAGAGGTAATAAACGCGTGAACAGCTGTCTCGAGAGATTTTTCAGGCAAAAAATGTTTAATTTTAGAAAGTAAGCGAAGCTGAAAAAAGCTAGAAGCAACGACTGAGGAAACATGTTTATCTAGAGTGAGCAGATTATCCAAAAGAACACCGTGGTTCTTGACACACTTTGATTCAAAGACTGACAGGCTATCCAGGGTCGAGTTGTTAAATTTGAAATTGTCAGATGGGCCAAAGACAATAACCTCAGTCTTTGAGTCATTTAAGGTTAAAAAGTTACTAGCCAACCAATGTTTTACCTCATCAAGACATGCAAATAAGGATTGAATAGCTGAGGGATCGTTTATTTTAATAGGCAGATAGATCTGGGTATCATCAGCGTAAAAGTGGAAAGATGCACCATGTCTTCTCAGAACCGAACCTAGGGGAAGCATGTAGAAAGAGAAGAGCAGAGGTGCTAGAATAGATCCCTGGGGAAGACCAGATTCTAGGTGGGCAGCAGAGGAAGTAAAGTTGCCAATTCTGATTGAGAAATATCGCTCTGTTAAATAAGATTTAAAGGGGTCATATGATGTTGCTAAAAAGAACATTATTTTGTGTATTTGGTGTAATGAAATGTGTTTATGCGGTTTAAGGTTCAAAAAACACATTATTTTCCACATACTGTACATTATTGTTTCTTCTCTATGCCCCGCCTTTCTGAAACGCGTCAATTTTTACAAAGCTCATTGTTCTGAAAAGCGAGGTGTGCTCTGATTGGCCAACTATCCTTTTTCTGAATTGCTAAAACACATTTCTTGAAACCATCACTCATTTTCTCAAAACCTTAAACACAAATCCAAATACTCAAACTAAATTCACGAAACCTCTGACTCTTCCATCAAAATCAAACAATCACTGCAAAACCATTTCACTTGCACTCAAAATCAAACGGTGCTCTCAGATCACACACACGAGTCAATAAAATAAACACAACAGAGCATTCATTAGACACTACAGAGAAAAATGGAGAACACAGAACATTACAGAAAAAAGTATATTGTATTGAGTAAACAATTTTCTAAATCTGTAAAAAAGTATAGTAATTGCAACTGAGTAAGGTGAATATATTGTATAGGCCTACTGTATGTACTGCAAGAATAGTATTGTGCTGAATATTGAATAGTACTGAATGTTTGTATATATTCAGCACTTGGATACTGCAAAAATATCCAACTGCAAAGGCCAAAAAGGTCAAATAAAACTCTAAATGAATAGCATGTTACAGTACACTAAAATACTGTAAGTTGTGCAATTGTAAAATCAGGGTCAATGAAAGATTCATTCTGTCTCAGCATCATGTCTTTGTGCTTGAGTCCGGCCTGAGGACTTTGTCCACATCACAAGTAATGTTGTCTTTTTTGCTAGACAAAGAGAAAAAACCTCTGGTCTGACAGATCCAGCATTGATAACACTCTCTTTCGCTTTCGCAACGAAACACACAGCGTCTTCACAACATGGTGGCAGCAGCAACAATAAAGTTACACCTTTCTTTGCGTGAATATTTGGGCGGCGTTATGCAAATCTTCCCACACAGTGACGTAGACATTTGGGGGCATGTTTAAACAAAGCGTTTTAGGAGGGCGTGGACGAGTCTTACAGTTTTTCTGAATTGCTAAAACACATTTCTTGAAACCATCACTCATTTTCTCAAAACCTTAAACACAAATCCAAATACTCAAACTAAATTCACGAAACCTCTGACTCTTCCATCAAAATCAAACAATCACT